TAGATCCTGGCTGGGAAATAATCTGCCCCTTCATACTAAAATCTGACAGTGGCGAGAACAATAAAAAAGTTAGAAGTTATCTTTAATATAGGAAACTTTTCTATGCATCATGATGTGTGGGCAACTGACAATGAGAAATAATACATATTTGGAACTGGCTTCATGTGGAGACATGGATGCAAGGTTAGACTAACTTCAAATAGCTTCACATTCTGTAACCAGGAAAGCTTAGTGCATTATATGATAGTTACATCAGTTGGTGATTTCCTGTAACAACAAGGAGAATAATCCCTATACTGTACAGAAGCAAAATACTCATACCAGGACTTGTGAAAAATACATTTGCATCCAGTGACTGGAATGTAATAGAACTAAACAGTTCAAAGTGTTTTAATGGATTAATGGTGAATGGAATTCCAGTGGATATGAAGATCAAAGACATCGTCATTAAAGCCATGAACACAACAATTTTAACCATAAAATTCTAGTCAAATCTGGAGGGAACATTGCAAGACATGAGGCTGTACAAGTAGTACTTCAATATTAAAGAACATTAGAAGTAGTCTCCTTGGATAAAATATTTGGGAATAGGAAGCCTTACATCAGTACAACCTTTAGATATACACAACTGTTTCAATTTAAGTTTATTGCAAGAGTTATGATTTAGATAGTTTATACAGCATGAGTATTAAATTTAGATATTTTTAGAAATGACAGTTTATTGTGAGTTTGCTTACATAATTGTTCACGAATCATACATTATGTACTTCACTAGTTAGGAATTGGTGACTGTTATATTATTCCATCATGTTATTAGAACTTTCTAAGTTTATTTCATTGTTTTATAATTTTCATCCAAAGTGTAGTTTCATAAATAGATGTATTTAGATAGTTAGATCTAGATTGCGCGATTGTAAGTTTAGCAATAAAGAGAAAATAGTAGCTATTTTTAAAGTGAAGTTATCACAGTTCGTATTATAATAACAGAGTAAAGAATAATAATTTATCTTGTCAATTGTGTTCCAAAGTAATTGAAACAGCCTGTGTGGACTTTGACAAAAAAGAGACAATTTCTTAAAGCTATGGATACAACCGTAGTAACCAACAGTTAGAGTGGTGATTTTAAAATGAAATTATGGCAGACTGTATTTTAATAACAGAGCAGGAAAAATAATTCGTCTTGTCAAATTGTGTTCTAAAGTAACTGAACCAGTCTGTGTGGACTTTGACGAAAATAAGACAATTATTTGAAACTCTGGATACAACTTTGATAAGAACAGTGTAAAGAACATTTGTATATATGTTTCATTTGTTTTAATATGTTATTTTAAAACAAATGGATTTGTGCTGTTTGTATATTATTAAAATCTATCGCCAACAAGTCACAGAAACATAATGTCAAATGGACATAAAGTTCCTAATGTGAACAGGAAGAACAAATAATTCATCTTGCTGCTCAGTTATAAGGAACAGATTTGATTATATGAAACAACCTTCAACTTGAGAGCCATAACACTAATCAACCATTGGTAGTTGCCTTATCCTACAGAAGGAAGTACCTAGAGTGATGTTCTGTAAAGAAAGTACAGAAGAAAGAAAGACTTTGATACATTACCAGAATAATTAGAAAAGCTTGTCAATTACTTTACCTGGATGCTCTTTCTGAAATAGCACCTGACCAATTTATAGATATCATAACAGACGAGGTATGAGAATTATGCTGAATAAAAATAGGAGTACATCCTTAAAAGAAACTCTGCAGTTGATGGTGTAAGTAAATAGCTTGTAGGGTAATAAGGCATCCTCTCCAAGGTTAGTTAATACACCAGTGATGATCCTCCAAGCATAATTAAATAGAAGAAACAACAAAGGTCTAACCAGATATCAGGAACTAGGAAATAGTTGGATTTATATAGTTTTCAGCTGAGAATGCCTCCTCTACTCAAAATAAGATAAGAAATTCATTACTTAAAGAAACCAGTTGACGAGTCTAAGGGTGTATTGATGGGAAGCCTTGTAGCATGTTAATGGTTCTGTAACTACAATAATTCGACCTGATTTCGTAATAACAGATATGGAATTGCCTTCACAGATGAAGAAAGGAGAAGGAGACTATTTTCCCTGTTCATTTTGTAAATGAATTTTAAGTAAGCCTAATATGCCTCCCACGGTACCTTTCCATCAAAGTTCATTGGTTTCTCTACTGACTGATGTTGAAGTTGCTAGTTACATTATAGAAATGAATTTGGTATTGTTTTGGATGAAATAGTCCAGGCTCTCAAGTTATGGCTCTCAAGTTGAAGGTTGTTTCATATAATCAAATCTGTTCCTTATAACTGAGCAGCAAGATGAATTATTTGTTCTTC